GTCCATCAGTGATAGACTGGATAAAGAAAATGTAGCACATATACACCATGGAATACTATGCAGCCATAAAAAAGGATGAGTTCATGTCCTTCGTAGGGACATGGATGAAGCTGGAAACCATCATTCTAAGCAAACTATCACAAGGAAAGAAAACCAAATACCGCATGTTCTCACTCATAGGTAGGAATTGAACTTGAGAACACTTGGACACAGGGTGGGGAATGTCACACACCGGGGCCTGTCGTGGGGTCAGGGGAGTGGGGAGGGATAGCATTAGTAGATATACCTAATGTAAATGATGAATTAACAGGTGCAGCACACCAACATGATACATGTATACATATGTAACAAACCTGCACGTTGTGCACATGTACCATAGAACTTCAAGTATAATAATAAAAAGAAATTTAAAAAAAGAGTCTGATGAGGCCTATAAACTCCTTCTCATAATACTTTTAAATATATAAAACAAAGTAAGTATGATTACAAAGGAAATCAATTATATGGAAATACAATTATCAAAATGTTAAAACATTTGTGATATAGTAGTATATGTGATTTCTTTAAAATATGTGCTTTTCAAAATATATATACTCCCCTTAAAACAGTAAGACCAGTGGAGGGTCTAATCATAACCATAGTTGTGAAGTATTAGTAAGTATAAATATATCTAAAGCACCGGTAACATGTCTGTTGACTATGTTAAGAATACATGAATTAAAACTTGAAAGGAGGCTTAAGTATCAGTGAGAACTGACAATCATTATATTCATTTCTATTCTTGTTTAGGAGGTACTTTGAAGGGTAGAGAATGGAGGTGATTATTTGTCTAAATTATCACATTTATGAAGAATTGAGTTCCAAGTAATGTTTGTCACACCTAAAACTACTATACTGACGTAACAGTGCAGAGCAATAAATTAACAAATTTGATGACAAGTTAATACCTAACAACAAAAATCATGAAGGTTCTATAAAATGAGACTATTCTTACCCATATACACAAAACTATAAAATGCTAATCTCTGGCATTATGATTAAGAATTATGATATGAAATTATCTGAGCCTATAACTTATCAAATTTGTATATACTAAATTTTAGGAGAAAAAGACTACCTATTTAGAAGTATATTTGGCAGACGCTGTTAAATTTTCAAAGGAATGCTAAATTAGCTGTTTCTACTATATATAACTAGAAGGATACTGGACAGCCATCTGATGTGTGTAGACATCAACAAAATCTTCTGAAATATTCCTGACTCTAAGCCCTCTTTCTCCTTTTTTTTTTTTTTTTTTTGAGATAGAGTCTCCCTCTATTGCCCAGGCTAGAGTGCAGTGGTGAAATCTCAGCTCACTGCAACCTCCACCTCCCAGGTTCAAGTGATTCTCCTGACTCAGCCCCCCAAGTAGTGCTGAGATTACAGGCATGAGCCACTGCACTCAGCTGTCTAAGCCCTCTTAACTTAGATATTAGCTAAGTACAATATTTCTCACATTGTTCATTTTGGGGTTAAAAGTAAACCAGCACAACCACTAAAAATATTTGAAATATATTTTTATTAAAATCTCATCCAAATATCAACATTAAAAGAATCAGCAGTATAATAATTTGGAATGAATATTAGATGTATTAACTTAATTATATTAATTCTAAACATGTTCTCGCCTGTCAAAATTTCCATGCCTTTTCTATGCTAAGCTATTTTAATGACGTCTAATAACATACTACAATATAATAAAAGAATAAACAATTTTGTCCTACCTAGTTACTTTGCAGCTTGATTCAATTAAATCATTTTCAAAGTCAAGCAGGCTGGAAGGCAGATTATACTCCAGTGGAGAGGTCAGTCTTTTCAAACGTAAAAGACCAACACAAAATTTTGCTCCCATCTCTTCCAGTTCTCGGGTACCAATCTGTAAACCCTTGAAATAAAGAATATTATGCATATCATTACAAAGTTTGCTATCTTCTGGATACATCTCAATGAAATTATATAAAAGGAATTTATATTAATAAAATTAAAAGGCTGGTACTTTGTATGGAAGTAGGACTCAATACGTTTAACATCTTAACAATACAAGATTATTCTAAGTCACAAATGAAACTGTCCTAAAAGACAATTTCTAAAACGTCTATTCTCTTTCACTATGATGCAAACTATTTTCACCATCACACTAGGGGGAAAAATACAGTAACACTTTGTGATTAATGTTACTTGTAGAATTCATGTGAGAAACTATATTTTAACAAGAGCTTGTTAGTATTTCTTGTAATCCACTACTTTGTATGCTAATGTTGAAATATTATAGTATTAAAATCAAGGCTCCAATATGTATACTTGAACAGTACTTTATAGATGCTTTTGTATGATAAGAGAAATTGATCAGTAAAAAGCAAATAAAGGTAACTGTCAAAAAAAAAGAATCAAATCTAAGCCAATGAAGTAGTGGTAAAATAAATTCCTATGATCCATGTCAATTCAGAATGCTCATTTCAAATTTTGCCTACTAAAGCAAAAAGAGTATTTTATCTTAACCTCCCTATCTTTTTTAAAAAATGGTTTCCCAATAAGTAACATAAGGTTTACCAAAAGTTAAATGTTATCACATAAAACCATAAAAATCGCCTGCAAATTAATATACTCATCATTTTTTTTTCAGATATAAATAAATCCCTAAAAAAGGCAAAATTCTTGCACCTATAAAAGTTGTAGCTGTAGATGACAGCTGATATCAATTAGAGAGAAAGTATTTTAAAACAGCTTTTCAGTGACCAGACTAAGTGAGTTCCTATGGCACACAGTAACTGAAGAAAATGAACTGTAACAACTGTTACTTACTCTACATGAAGCACATGACTTTACAGTAATTTTTTAACTTTTCAACTTTTTGGTTTAAATAGTTTGGCCAACTCCCAAATATTCTAGGAAATAAGACCTAACTGACTTCATTAGAACATTCATTTGATCTTTTGATTTGTAACTTTTAGAAAGGTTATACGTGTTTCTGAATTAGTTCATAGACAATAAAAATAAAGAATACTTACATCCTAAAACTCAGTAAGATAAAAATATTGTTGAGGGTGAAAAAGACTGTTACCTAAAATATTATGAGACTCACATACTTATCAGCTAACAAGTTTAAGAGATGTTAAGTGTGTGTGGAGAGGTTGGGAATGTATGGGAGCTCTGTGTACTTTCCACTCAATTTTGCTGTGAACCTAAAATTGCTCTAAAAAATAAAGTCTATTAACTTTTTTAAAAGTATATGTTATGATCAAAATCTTGCATTTTAGACATTAAAGGAAAGCCCTGGCTTAGTAAGACACTTCTCTCAGTGAGAGTTTTAAATCAATGTATACATTATTTACTAAACAATATCAAAGAAAAATGAGTATTTATTAGGTATCCATTTTGTTTGTAAAAGTTTATATATTTATACATTAAAAACAAAAATGACTTGAAAAAATGATTTCACATTTTACATTTCAAAATATATCTTAGCTTTCTAAAAATCTGTCTTTTTAAAATGACCAAATTTATCAAAATAGAAATCAAAAAACATTTTTAAATTCAATGAAAGTCTATCAGTAGAATCCAAATAGAGTGACAAAGCACTACTATTGTATACTATGGATGATTTCAGGGGTATCCAAGTCAGGTGTCCTGACAGCTTCTTTCTCCACTGCCCAGAAGCTTGTTTCAGAGACAGTGATGCTTTAAGTCACCTTCTGAGCCCAACTGCATAAGTCAACTCTTTAAGAATTAACAGTGTTTCCATAAATCATATAGCCCAAGGTTTTTCCTTAGAAATCACCCATATTCTTATAAAAAGTGATTCTCAAGTTTCTTCCCCATCCCACACACTTACTGAGTGAGACCCTTAACAACAGTTGTCCACTGAAGCAATGATCAGGTGCAGGGGCTGCAAGCTGGAGTGGTACTAAAGCTACATTTTCTCTCTCACCACCACCATGCCCTTGGTAAAACTACACTGACTAGAAGTCACTGTTTTTACAATATTCAGGGAGATCTCATATTACACTTTGGAAGATCACATTGTGATCAACCTAAAGTTCAGGGAAGAGTCACTGAACAGAAAGAACTGGAATTTCAGTAAGTTCTACTTTACTACTACTCTTCTTATTTAAGTTCTACTTTACTACAACTATACTTATTTAAGTTCTACTTTACTTAAACATCCCTTGCAAAATCAATGTAATTTTCTTCCAGTTTGTTACAGACTGAAAAAGTCATTATTTAAGTTCTCCTAAAATATTTCACATCAACCATAATATGTTTACATTTTAAATGCTAACCAGTTAGGTGTTTCTTTGCAAACACGAAGTTATAACCACCTTTATGTTGAGGTATATAAAAATCATTCTCAGATTCAGTACCCTCTTTCCCCATAACAAAAGAAATGAACAAAATGGAATGAGTGGAATAATTAGCATGACACCTGAAAATCTTTCTGTGCCAAGGCGAGACAGAAATGCCCAGTTTTGCTCATTGCTTATCTAAAGTCCAACTCATTGCACATTAAGTCTTCAATCTCTAAAATTAATAAATCCAAAATCACCTAACATTTTACTAGTATTTAATTTCAAAAGTACAGTTTAAATTCTAATTATCTCCAGTAAAAGCCTATAGTACCACGAATGAGTACTCTTAATGAAGAAAAACGTTTACTAATGGGATATGTATTTAAAAGTCACACATAAGGCCAGATGTGGTATCTCATGCCTGTAATCCTGGCACTCTGAGAGGCCAAGGTAGGAGGAGTGCTTGAGGCCAGGAGTTTGAGACCGGTTTGGGCAATATGGTGAGACCTGTCTCTATTTTTATTTTTCAAAATATAAACAAACAAACACATAAACAATAGCTACACATACAAAAACCTAAATATAACAAACCTGCTGCTTTTTAAATAAATATGATGTGTTTATTTTAAATGCATAAAAATATATTTACACCCAATAAATTAAAACAATAGAAAATTTTTAACGTACCACTTACACAGGTTAATATAAATTACTAGTGAGTAAATGTGTACTCTAATATGCTTGCTTAAAAATTATGAATATAAACAGACTCAACCAAGAATTTAAGGATCCAAGCAAGCTATTTAGTTCAGAGAAGTAAATGAACCAACAAAACAAAAAATTAAAACCTATTCTTAAGACTGTATATGATTCTATTATTACAAATTACATGTAACTCAATAAAACAAACATCATTTAATATATACTTAAAAATCACAAGACATATATGAAAGGAAAGTCTTCAAATATCTTTCGTGGTTAGAAAACCTAAGATGTTTTACCTTGTATTTTCCCTGATCACAGCCACATAAAGTACTCTCCATGGTATAACTTCTTTGTACTCCTATTTCCCTCCAAACTACAACGCGTGCTGTGGATTCTTTAGATTTTTCCACTACGAAGCTACAGCTGCTCATGCAAAATGCTGGGGCAATATGGCTCAGTATCTTAGGCAATGTCTGTTAAAAACAAGAATGATGATGATAAAATAAACCAAGAGGTAGTTTTTAATTTTAAATGTTTTTATTTTTAAGAAGTTTTTGATGAAAACACAGTAATCAGAGCAAAGCCATGTGGATGTTCTATTATATATCCCTTGCCATTCAAACAGCAAAACAATCCTCTTAACTAATTTCAAATTTTCTACTTTTCTAAACAAATACAGTATCCAGTTAGAAAACAATGGAAGAATCACATTCACAGTATAACCAGTAAGCAAAATAAAATCATTTGAGAAAACCATGTCTAAAAATACGAAAAAAATGTTTAAAATGTGAAATTTAGTCATAAAAGACTAATTGAGATGTTTAACACTGTAAATGCCAATCATCCCTAACTTAATTAATAAAGCTAAGACAATCACAATCAAAACTACTGCCAAAGTTTTCTGCAACTGAAATTATTCTCAATTTCATCTGAAAGCATAAATATAGAAGTATACCCTGAGAAACTGTAGGGTCGGGGGGAAGGCTGTAACTAGAGAAATAATCCAACACATCAAACTAGCTTACAGACCTAAACTAAGTTAAATTGTGATACTGACACAGGAACAGATGCATCTCTAGAAAGAAAGAGAGTTCAGAATTAGAACCAAATGTATTAAACTTATTATTAGTAGAGAAAAGACTGATTATTCATTAAATACTGGCACTACTGGATAGCCATTAAGAAAAACAATCTAAAGTCACTCTTCATTAAATTAAGTTCTAGGTGGATTGAGAATATAAACTTAAAATTAATACATATTTTTAAATGAAACTAGAAATAGTAAACATGGAACTGTACTTTTAAAACTTCAGAATGGGTCAGGCGTGGTGGCTCACGCCTGTAATCTCAGCACTTTGGGAGTCCAAGGCAAGTGGATCATGAGGTCAGGAGTTCAAGATCAGCCTGGCCAACGTAGTGAAACTCTGTCTTTACTAAAAATACAAAAAATTAGCCAGGCATGGTGGCAGGCACCTGTAATCCCAGTTACTTGGGCGGCTGAGGCAAGAGAATCGCTCAAACCCGGGAGGCAAAGGTTGCGGTGAGCCGAGATCACACCATTGCACTCCAGTCCGGGCAAAGTGCAAGACTCCATCTCAAAAACAAACAAAAAAATGTTTAGAATGAAAAAAATCTTTCTAAGCCTCAAAACTCCAAAAAACAATTTATGAAATTAACAAATACGATAAAATTTTAAATTACTACACATCATAAACAAAAAATTAAAAAATATACTTATAATATATAAAGAGGTTTTTTGTTTTTGTTGTTTTTGTTTTTTTGAGATAGTTTCACTCTTGTTGCCCATGCTGAAGTGCAATGGCGCAATCTGGGCTCAGTACATCCTCTGCCTCCCAGGTTCAAGCAATTCTCCTGTCTCAGCCTCCCAAGTAGCTAGGATTACAGGCATGCGCCACCACACCCGGCTAATTTTGCATTTTTAGTAGAGACGGGGTTTCTCCATGTTGGTCAGGCTGGTCTCGAACTTCCGACCTCAGGTGATCTGCCCGTCTCGGCCTCCCAAAGTGCTGAGATTACAGGCGTGAGCCACCACTCCTGGCCTATAGAGTTCTTATTTAAAAAACAATTAACAATTACATGACCTGAACAAAAGTAAGCAGAAAATATAAGAAAAGACTATTTTAAAAGACACAGATCATAATTGGCCAAAACATAGGAAAACTCAACCTTATTTATAATTATAGGTATGCTAGTTAACAATCAGGTATTATTTTCACCTGACAAAGATGATAGTACAATGTAATAAGGGTGTGGAAAAACAGTACTATCGTTCATGGTATTTGGTAGTATCAATTTGTACATTCTTTATGGAGCACAATTTAGCAATACTTATTAAATGACTATCAACAGAGACCACTAAGTAAATAAATTCGGGTACAGTCTACAAAAATAACAAAAATGCACAATGGAAATCTTATCTGACTGTTTAAAAGACTGAGACAGATTCAGACATGATGATCTGGAAAGATGACCAATAAATATTATCATGGGAAAAAGTTACTATGTAGTGTTTAAAATACATAAAAAGATAAAAACTGCATACTCTACTTGCATATCTATATGGATGTGCTCAGAGGCAAGTCTCACAATATACATGGTAAAACTGCCTAGTGTTAAGAGAATGACTAGGAAAAGATAACTTTCACTCACTTCTTTATATAAATCTGGAGTGTTTCCCCATTTTTTATATAATTCTAATCATTTTATTTATTTAGGAGAGGGGAAGAAGAGAGAGGGCACCCAAAAAGAAAATGTGCTTTGAAGTTCTGCTAAGAGCTGCAGTAGGTTACTGAAAATGTTTTTTGGAAAATAACCTAGGGCGCTGGTTTAGGCATAACTGTAGGAAGAGAGGCACTGTGACAGAATGGAAAGCACACAGGACTTAAAGCAACACAGCTCATTTCAGTCCTAGGCACATCATATTTTGGCCAAGGCCTCAAGCATGTCAACTGACTCAGATGTCTTAGTGGACTTATTTGTGTAGAAGGAATGATGATCCCTACCTACATCACAGAGCATTGTGAGGCTGGCACAGAAAATTCATATGAAAGCTATAAGCACAACACTAAAAGCTGTAAGCACAATACCAATACGGTAATATAATTGTTACATGTTGGTCTATAGGTATAATTAATTCATCCATCCATTCAACAAATATTTACTTAATGCCTACTAAGAATCAGGGATACTCAGTCAACCAAATAAACAAAAGTCCTAATTGACATTATTGTTAGTCATCTCATTCAGGAATGATGATCTACTATCCACAATATTTAGCAATATTAAAACATCCCTAAAAAGCTAATAGTTTTGTTGAAGCTAAATTACATATTTCCATAGCATCATATGCTATGACGTTCACCTTATTGGAAGGATGCTATGATGTCCCCCTTATTGGAAGCAAATATATGATTTAACTTCAATTAAAAAATCCACTATGTTCCAAATTCCAAAATTTTTTTAATGTCAACATGATGCTCAAAGGAAATGCTCGATGGAGCATTTTGGATTTCAGATTTTGGGATTAGGAATGCTCAAACTAGCAAGTATAATACAAATATTCCAAGAAACAAAAAAAATCTGAAATCTAAAACACTTCTAGTCCCAAGCATTTTAGATAAGGGATACTTAACCTATAATAATAAATATTTGTTTTGTAAATCTTTTATTTTAAGCTAATTTTAAACTTAGAGAAAGGTGCAAAAACAGTAGAATTTTCATTTTTCTGTCACCCTTAACGTTAATATCTTGACTATAGTTCAGTATCAGAACCAAAAAATTAGAATTGATACAATACTATTGATAGACCTTATTCAAACTTCATCAGTTTTTCTAATGCCGCGTTTCAGGATCGTATCCAGAATCTCACATTGCATTTAGTTACTGTTCCTCTTTAGCCTCCTGCAGTCTGTAACAGTTCCTCAGTCTTATAACTTTAATAATCCTAACACTTTTGAAGAGTATTGATTATTTTTTTCAAATGACACTCAATTTAGGCTGGGCGTGGCAGCTCACACCTGCAATCCCAGTACTTTGGGAGGCCAAGGCAGGCAGATCATTTGATGTCAGGAGTTCGAGACCAGCCTGGCCAACATGGTGAAACCCCGTATCTACTAAAAATACAAAAAAAAAAATTAGCTAGGAGTGGTGGTGGGCACCTGTAATCCCAGCTACTCGGGAGGCTGAAGCAGGACAATCACTTGAACCCGGGAGACTGAGGCTGCAGTGAGCTGAGATCGTACCACTACACTCTGGCCTGGGTGACAGGGTGAGACTCCATCTCAAGAAAAAAAAGACACTCCATTTATATGTCATAATTTTTTGTATTTTCCCAAAAAACATAAACACTTGCACTAAAAGGACAAAGCAGTACTATGATCTATCATCAGAAACATAGCACATAGCATTTATGTGTATTAGTCCATCCTTTCCCAACCCATCTGCCAAAAAAAAAAAAAAAAGGTTCCATGGTATGGTAGTTGCCATCAAAAATGTCTTAATCACCAGAATCTAGGGATGTTACTTTACATGGAAAAGGGGCTGTCCATATGTGATTCAGTTAAGAATCTGAGATAGTAAGATTATCCTGGATTATCTTAGTGGTCCTTGCCATCACAAGGGCTCTCATAAGGGAAAGGGGAAGGCAGCAGCAGGAGAGAAGGAGATGTAGCAATGGAAGCAGAGGTCAGATTTGATTCCTGGTTGAAAGGGACCATGACGCAAGGAACACAGACATGCTAGGGGTGTGGAGGAGAACAAGGAAACACTTCTACCACAGGGCTTCAAAAATTAATGTAGTTGATGGCACTTTGATTTTAACCCAGTGAGCCCTGCATTTGACTTCTGATCTGCAGAACTGTAAGTCATTTTGTTTTGCTGTGTTTGTGGTAGTTTGCTATAACAGCAATAGGAACTAATATGATGATAAAATTATGGGAAATACTCCACTTTCACACATGTGCACACACACCCACATACACACCCGCCCCACAATGTAAGCTTCTTACGTTTCCTAAAGAAAAGAAACAAAGTTGGCTGTGTCTAATGCAATTACCTGATGTTACTAATTACACAACTACTGGTGAGAGGAGGTGTGTATGAAACACCTGTTAACATCTTGCGAAATGAAATTTGGGAGAAAAGTGCATTATTTACTCTAATTACAGCATCATCTTATGTTTCCTTTCACAACAAAATTCAAAAAATTAATCAAAGAAATTTGGGACGAGATAATTTTAATGAAAAAAACTGAGACCAAAGAGAGTTAATTTTATCTTTTTCTCTTTTTTTTTGACACAGAGTCTCACTCTGTCCCCCAGGCTGGAGTATAGTGGTGAGATCTCGGCTCACTGCAAGCTCCACCTCCCGGGTTAATGCCATTCTCCTGCCTTAGCCTCCCGAGTAGCTAGGGCTACAGGCGCCCGCCACCGCACCCAGCTAATTTTTTGTATTTTTAGTAGAGACAGGGTTTCACCATGGTCTTGATCTCCTGACCTCATGATCCGCCCACCTCAGCCTCCCAAAATGCTGGGATTACAGACGTAAGCCACTGTGCCTGGCCAATTTTATCTCTTACAATGGAAAAACTCTTTTGCATTTACCTTCCCACATGTCTGTCTGCCATTCATCCAACAACTCACCTAACAACAAATACTTAGAGTACTTATTATGAATAAGGTATTGTGCTATATAGTGGCAATGTTGACAAAATGAGCACATCAGACATATTTGCTAGGCATGTGGCGCTTACTGAGAAACCTATTAATCAAATAACAGAAAACCTTACCATTATAATTCTTAAGTGTTATGAAGGAGACAGAATCCTATAGATGTCTGATCTGACTTCGTTTTGGGGACTAAGTGAGAATTCCCTGAGAAGTGAAGTATGATCCAAGCAAAAACGACTGGGTGAGGCAATGGTGGCAATGATGGTGCTGTTCCAGAGCGCAGCCTAGGGAAGGCTCTGTGCACGTGCTCTTCATCTAGCTTTCTCCCATTCTCTGGGCCTCTCACTAGTCTCATTTTCTTACATTTTCTCTATCTGGGTCTCAACTAAATATTCCCCTTTTCTCTATCACTGAGGTCTGCTAATCTACTTGGTTTCCTTTATTTAATGCGGTCTAACCTAATAAAACTCTATTTTCTGAAGGTCGTGTGGCAGAAATATTTGTTGACTGTTGACGTGTTGGGCATTTTACATACATTCTGGGGCTCTCCCTCCACCTTTATCGTGGGCTTTGCCTCTCTCTTGAACTTAATTTCTGTGTGCCTTCCTCTTTCATATATTCCTTTATTTTGGCAAGAATGTCGTCCAGCAGCTTCCAGAGAAAGGCTATTTGTGAGGTAAATTTCTGAGACTTTAGTGTCTGAGAACATCCTTTTTTAGTTTCACACTTGCTGATGGTTAGAATGGGGTATGAAAATTACAGGTTGGAAATCTAGTTGAAAATTATGAAGGCTTTCCTCCACCAAGTTTTGCTTCCAGTGTTGCTACTGTGAAATGTGATGCCATGCTTACATGTAATCCTTTGTAGAAGGATCTGAAAAATTTGCAGACATTTTTTTCCGAAAACACACAAAAAAATCAATAGCTTTCCTATGTACCATCAATGATCAATTGAGGGGAGGAAGATATGTGGGGAAAAAATCCATTCCCACCTGCAACAAAATTCATAAAGTATTTGGGAATAAATCTAACAAACATTTCACACCTACGTGAAAAAATTGCATACTTTATCGAATATAAGACTTGACTAAATAGACACACAGGCAATGGTCACAGATAGCAATATTACATATTATTATAATAATTCTCTCCAACTTTAAATTCAAGGCAGCTCTAATGCAGATTCGAACAAAGTTTATCCCAAATGGATCCTAAAATTCACAAGTACAGAGAAAAAAAGTCAAAGCAATTTTTAAAAGAAAAAGAAAGGAAAATCTGCCCTACATGATATCAATATTAATTATAAGCCTATAGTAATGAAAGCAACATTGTATGCAAAGAATGAAACAAGAATGGCCATAATAATAGCCTCGCAATACACCCATATTTACGAAATAAGGTATGTAACAGATGGCGTCATCAAGCCGACAGAGGAAGGAGGTACAGAGGAAGGAGGTATGAGCTAGTTCATGGTGCAAGCCAACTGGTATTCACAGAGAAAACAGAAATGGATCCCCACATCTCACACAAACATTAATTCCAAACAGACAAAAAATATAAACACAAAAAAACTTTTAAAAATGAAAAATCTGAAACAAAAATGGCAAAATGTCAGTATTTATTGAATTTGAGTAGTTCATATATGTTGTTTTCTGTACTTTTACGCATGCTTGAAATTCAAAAACTCATGACTCATTTGTGATAATTACCCTGTATCCCGTATCTTCCACAACATCACATGAAGTTGCATTATCATTGGTATGCCACACTGTCTCTTTGATGCTGCAACCATACATAAATACGTTCTTCTTTCGGGAATGGCCATGATAATCACAATAAACCTTGAAAATACATATTTTAAAAATTAAAAGGCTCCAAGTTCATATGTTGCCAAGTAAAGGTAGTTAATATCAAGCCAATAAACATGTAGGTCTGTGTCCCTTGGTCTTTTTTATTGTAAAAGAACCACCATTTAACAATTAGAACCAATGAAAGTAATAACACCTAGTTTGGGAAAGGATCTATAATTAATTCTAGAATTGCCAAATCCTTTAAAGGTCCTATATCACCTTTGTGTTTACTATTCACCGTTTAAAAAACAATACATTCCACTATAGTTCCGATCTACAGTTGTGGTGATTGCTGCCCCAAATGGCTGTGAAAACATTTACCTAATTTGGCCTGGAGCAATGGCTCATGCCTGTAACCCCAGCACTTTGGGAGGCCAAGGCGGGCGGATCACTGGAGGTCAGGAGTTCGACGTCAGTCTGACCAACATGGTAAAACCCCGTTTCTACTAAAAATACAAAAATTAGCTGGGCGTGGCTGTGGGCACCTGTAATTCCAGCTACTTGGGAGGCTGAGGCAAGAGAATTTCTTGAACCTGGGAGGCAGAGGTTGTAGTGAGCCGAAATCGCGCCACTGCACTCCAGCCTGGGCAACAAGAGCAAAACTCCGTCTCAAAAGAAAATAAATAAAAATAAAAAATAAATAAAAACAAGCAACAACAAAAAACAAGAAAATGCTCCTATACAAAAACACCATTAAGAAGGGTATGGTTTTAATTTAATTTTTAAGTGCATCATTTTTAAAAAAAATTAAAAATAAAGGACATGTCAATTTTACTCCTCTGCAAAGTTTTTCTCTCTTTCCTAAAGAAAGATTAAGTAATATACACACTAACATAACAGGAACATTCTAATCAAAAGCTGGTACGAACAGGAGGAGCGTATGTATACAGTCCAGTCCAGTCACGCCTGGACTACATTTCCCATGTGTGTAGCAGAGACTTCACAGCTTCAGAGCTGACTAGAAAACTCAGAAATAAGTTTCTAGCTTGAGAATCCAGAAGATACACATTGTTACCTTAGCATTGTTCAAACAGTGAAGTTAAATATCTAAAACTTACAACCAAGAGTTACCAATATTCATAACCAACAAGGAAAAAAAAGAAGGCTTATGAGAATTAGAAACATTCCACCTTATAAAATTAAGACTACTAACATAATGGATTAATTTGACCTCATGATTATCACACAAGTGCTTGATAATACAAAATGACATTTTATCTTTAACTATACCAAGTAAAAACAAGTATTGCTACTTACCAAGGGTAAACGCTTCACTGCAGCCAAGTATTGCAGCAGCCCCTTAGCATGGTAAATTGTAGGATGTAAATCCGGATTTGGACTTTGCCACTGCCTATTCAAATCCTCTCCACTTAAAGAACAGCGATGACTACATGTACATACACACAAAGACAGAAAAACACTGGTACCAATAAACCCTTATTTACACTTCTTAAACCCTTATATACATTTCTGGTTTAACTTTATGATTCTATTCCACTAAGCATTTCAAAAGGTATAGATGGTAAGCTCAACCAAATGCATACTATATTCATTATGTAAACATTTATTGAGTTTTTGCTATGTGCAAGCTTTTGTGTCACATGCATTTAACCGTGGTAAGTTCTCAGATTCATAATCAAAATTTTGAAAATATAGAAAAAATTAATTAATTCTAGGGTTTTCTTCCATATTTTATAAAAATGTATTAATAATCACATTTTCCATTCTGACTACATAATAATTTATGTTAGCATGCTATATCTTGACTTCATCAATTAAAGTGCTATCTAGGTGCTTCTGCTGAGAAAGACAAGTATATGAAAAGCATACATTGTTGTAAAAAATCAAATACCTTTTTGTTTATGGGTTTTAAGTAGTAGAGCTATCATGCAAATAAGCAAATAATCATAAAGGGATGACAAATATAAACAGAATTCCAACTGGTCAATATATTTCTCAATTAAAAAGAGACATCGTTTTAGTTCCATAACCATAACATATTAAGAAGAAATTCTATATTTAAAAAATTCAGTAATTTCCTAAAATATGAGAAATAGTCATGCTACTTTTATTCAAGTAAGACATGTGATCCTCATCTTTGGAGATATTCATGACAACCAGACTAAATCCCATCTTTCAGAGTGGCACTACAGAGACCTTGTCAAATTACCAGAATAAACGTACTATACTAACTATATGCAGCCACCTCTTACAAAGTAATTATCTTCCACTATTCCCCCGCTAAAGAACTCCTGTCAAAAACTACGCCTCATATCAGGAAGAGGTTAGCAGATGGGGCTAACATTCCAAGAGATCCCAGAAGGATCTTAATCTTAGAATAATCTAGGTTCATGCCACTAACAAAAAAAATAAAGGAATATGAGAGGTATGAGTTAATCTTTCTTACAACCTGACATTGTGATTTTTCTAAAACAATTCAAGCATTTTATGAAAGCATATTCCCATGGATACAGAATTTCTCATAATTTCATACCGCTACTAGTATCCAAAATATATTTTCATTTAAAAGTTTATCTTAATTTCCCACCAAAATTTTCTTTATTCTAGAAAAATCACTAAATTTGTTAACCTGGACACTGTTATTTCAACAAGTTTATACAGGACAACCGAAATGGTCTAGAATATATTCTATAACTATTGCTTAACTTACTTTCCATTGATGACACCATCTGGATTTAACATAGGGACAATTTTAAAAATATAAGATTCTCGTAAGCTCTGAGCAGTGGGGTTATTGCTCATGAGATATTCCAACGTTCCTTTCATAACCCAACTTGCATTAGTTTCTCCAGGATGTACCCGAGCAGACAAGAAAACGTAAGGGCGATTTCCTAAAGTACACATAAAATCTCAAATTAAAATGAACAGCTACTAAAAGTTTGTATATTTTATTTTGGGGCTTTAGAAAATGTCTCTAACTCAATTGTGAATTCTGATATAAATTAATAGAACCCAATGGTGCATCCTACAAGCACTGCACTAGGCCCTATAAAATAAACAAATATAAAAACCGATAAAACCATATCCCGAAGTAGCTCATAATAGGACATAAAACAGTAAGTAGTATTTGATCCACTTATTTATTTCCCAGACTAATTTAACATGTAAAATTAGTTATTTAGTATAACGTTAATTTTATAAAGAACAAGTACTTGGGGGAAGTTTAAAAATATAAAACTATTTTTTCATAAAATCATGGGGAAAAGAAAGAAAATATAATTTCAGCCCTGTCTTACAGTTGCTCTGATAGAGAAAAAAGTTTATCTGCTCAGAGATTTAGCCTCCAAAATTTCACTATATACATTTAGATACACAAATCTACAAAATAATCATTCAGCTCATCACTCATATTTTCATACACAATGAGCTCTGTTTCCTGAAAATACTTTGCCTTCTTATCAAACTGAAACAGTTTTATTTTTATTACTACAGCTGTACATTCGAGACAATTTAAAAAAATATAAATGGCAGGGAAAAATGAGTAGCTATTCAGTGCCAGCTATCAAAACAATTGATAGGTTTCTGGTTGTTTTATTTACAAGTAAAATCAGTTCATTTCTAAATTGATAATATTATCACATGACCTCTTAAAATAATTTGTTGTATTCTACTTTGAATACAATTTCTAAGGATAGAACTAACAACAGTAGTAGCAAAAGAGACCTCAGAGAACATCTCATGTAGCCCCTTATTTTCAGGATAAGGAAACTGAAGCCCAGAGGTGGGCCCATGGCTAGCTAAACAATAGCAGGGCCAAGACCAGAGCTCAAGTCTTCTGGTATCTGTTCCTATTATCATTTCCATTATAAAATACAGATGAAGCAAATCAAAGTGGGTGAGAATGACTGCTCTTGTGAGTTGGGAAGACAAACTTACTGAAATGACAGATATGTTCATAATAATTAGACTCTGGCATTGCTGTTATAGTCACCAAGGGGCAGCTGTTTCCGGACAGGGTTTCACATAACACATCTTTCCGAAAATAGATTTGCTGAGGATTGTGTGCTGATTCCAATTTTTGAAGATGCATCTTGATAAAAATTTTAAAACAAAGTATACAATCACTTTAAAAGTCCCCATGATATACAGAAATAACGCATCCAGATCTCCACATAACTAGAAGTGAACCAGATTCTTAACCCCTTATCCAAAACCCTCAGGGCCAGATGTAATCTAAACATCAGTGTTTGGGAAACTTGAAAAAGGCAATACATTGTTTAAATCATTAATTATGCAGCCCCACCAACAGGGTCAGGGGTAGCAATCTGTAATACACACATTATTTGTGCAGCAAAATATATGAAGAATCACCCTAAGTGGAATCAATATTCTAAACAAATTCAGGTCAGGCTTTGCCTCCAAATGAGTTCCAAAAAACCTTTTGGTTTTCAAAGCCTTTTGAATTTTGAAATTGTGAGTGATAACAGACCTGTAACAGCAACAATCTAAAATCTGAAAAATAAAAATTATGTAGCACAAATTTTAACAATTTATTATCCTGATTTCAAGATTAATATGGGTTTATTGTAAAATGTCTGACAGTGAAAAAAAAAACAAAGAAAAAAATTTTTTAATGTTTTAAAAATTTAAAACATCCACAATTGTACCGCCTAGATTACCACTAACACGAGGTATGTAAGCAAAACCATGATTACACAAAGACTTTTATAATCTGATTTTATCACTTAAAAATTTATACATACACACAAACACATATATATTCATAATTATGAATACGATACCACATCATTAAACACGTTAAATGTGTATTTTTTGAAAATACAAGTTTTAATGGTCTTATGATGTGGTTATGCCAAAAATAAATTGTTCAATTCCCTATTTTTAGATATTCAGTTGGTTTTCAAACTTTTGCCTATGTTCTTTCACATAATCACTATTGACTGAGTGGTCACTATTTTCCAGAAACTACAGGGCATTGGGGATATGACAATGAATAAATGAACCCTACCCTAGGGAAAATAGAGAGTGCTGTGGGAGCCTGTAATAAGGGGAGGGGACCTTAGCCAAGTCTGGGCAGTCAGGGAAGGTCTTCTAGAGAAAACTACATTTAAACTAAACTCCAAAGGACGAGTGAAGAGGGCAGAATACTGCAGGCAGAAGGAAAAATATTAGGAAGACCACAAGACAGAACAGGGCTTTTCAAAGAATTCAGTAAGATTCATTATAGCTACAAAGGTAAGAAACAAAGAATCTGACACAGAATGAAGGGCCTGGTAGACTGGTCTTTCCCAAAGCATAGTATACATACCACTGGTAATCGAGACAACTAAGTGATATGTAGGTAACCATTTTAGAAGTTTAATAGGTATATATTTTATGTGAAACAAGTCTAGCACATTAAATCTTTTATGGATGTCACAGATATTAACTGAGGATGAGGATATAATTTAAATGATTTCATGGATATTAACTGAGGACAAGGATACACTTCAAAGAGTAATCTATTTTAAAGTCTATTTAAAGATAAATAATACTTCAAATAGTATGTGGATATGGCAAAAAAAAAAAGGGGGGGGGATTATTAGAAAAAGGACAGGGTGAATCATGGTAAGATTTTTAGACTTCATACAAAGGGCAAGGGAAATCACTAAAGAGTTTTAAGCAGGGTATTTTGTGATAAGATTAGCTATAAAAGAACCCTTTGGCTATAGTCTGGGGTTTGTTGGAGGGGGTGGGGTAACTAATGAAGAGCAAAGCGGGCAAAACTGAATCCTAGGACACCAGTTACAAAGAGGCTGGCAGAAGCCCAGGTGAGAAACAATGGTCATGCCTGGAAAACATCATGGTAGGGGGACTGAAAGAAAGCAGGAGAATTCAAAACATACTAAAAGGCACAATCAGTAAAGAACAATAACATAAAACCAGGCAAATAAAAACAGTGAAAATATATTTTTATGTGCATTCTTATTTGTTTTCCTAGGATAAATTACCCAAAAGTAGAACTACTGAGCACAGAAAGATACATGAACATTGTACCTTTATGGTAGGTTGTAACCTTTATTAAAGTACAGTAAGTCTCATTTAAGGCTGTCAGCCTCATTTAGTCTTCTTAGGTTTGATCTCTCTTCTGCTCTATAGACTACGTTTTTCTTTCATTTTCTCCTCTCTAATAATTTGGGAGCTTGTTTCTAATTATAGTGTTCCAATTTCTTTATTGGTAAATTGATCACATCTTCATGATCCTTGACCATTAGAATAGATATTCTGTTCTGAGAATAAATATCAACCACAGTTGATATTTAATTCCTAGACTTGTTTGTTTAGTTTTGTTTTTTAGTTTCGTTTTGCCAATATTCAAAATCTCAAAAGGTCTCACACAAAACAACTCTTATACCCCAGATTTTTAAAAATCTGGATCTAGGTCTCCATAATAAAACTATTTCCTTCAGAAAAAGATCTCAATTTTTCCTTCAAAAAAACTCAAATTGCACCCACATTTTCCTAATATTCTATTTTCTATGAGATTCTGGTTAAACATGCAGAAATCTCACCTGGTTAAAATTCGTAAATTATGGAATCTTAGCTTAGAGAACTGTGGATTTCAACAAAAGATGGGAAGTAAAAATCATGTCAAAGTTCCTTAATATTTCTATTAAAAAAAAATAAGAATCACATTCCCATTTTACTCCTCAAGAAATATTGTAGTATTTTCCAAAATCTTCAACACTAAACCCTTTTCTTATGTTATGATATTAACTAAACTTCATTTTCCTTATGTTAGAATATTTAATTAAACTCAATTTTCTTCCATTATCTTACACATATCCATATAATACAATTTAATTTAGAGTTCTTACCTGTAAAGTTGAATACGTATATGGATAGTGATAAGCAAAGTAGCAAACATCATCTTTATGTGGAAAACTGACAGTAAATGTAATTGTATAGTAGGATTTTCCCTTTTGCCCACCTGCAGCAACTGAACTTCTCGAGAAATGATTTCTACAATAAAAAAGCATAAAACGTGTTCATTTCATCCACACAAAAACTATTTTCCTTGTTACTTTTATTAAATAGAACTTCAGGGAAAAAAGAAAAACCCGAGTCTATAAAAAGTGTAACTTAAATACCCTATTAAAAAAAAACTTAGTACTCATAAAGCAGTTAACTGTTATTAGCCGATGACACTACATAACTTTTCACTTCTGAATTTACTAATTAAATGAGCTAATACTCTTCACGTCAAAAAAAATTTTTAGAACCCCATTCTTTGACATCCATACACATTATTGAATCTAGAAAATGATCATCAGTGGCTGCTACAATCAAGAGAGGAAAGGCTGATGGACACCTTTACGTGGATGGATCAGGCTACAAGACCTGGGTTCACTAATCAATCTTAAGATTACAAAAAGAGAAACAATCAGAGATGATGATGTTTCCTGACATGATGCAATGGGAATTCATTGCACCACCTATTAAGTATTCTTGCCAAAAATCAAACCTGAAGTTGATCAAGCTTCTAGATCTAACTAACAGTTTATAGGAAACTGGTGAAACAGAAGTACTTGTTAACACCACAGGGATGCAATCCAGTAAAATCCAAATGTGAAAAACCCTACATGACAATCCAGCTTCTTTAGCAAAATGAGAATGTAAAAAAAAAGAAAAGGGAAGCCTATAAATTAACAGACTTAAGGGACATGTCAACAAAAATCAAATGTAATGTGTGATCCTTAGCTGGATTATGATTAAATAAAACTATAAAACACCATTTAGAGGCAATTGGGGAAGTTTCAACGTTGTTATTTCATCACAGTAAGAAATTTTCCTAATCTTTCTGTGTTGTGATAATGGCATTGTGGTTAGATTGTCTTAAAGAGCCTTTGTCTTTTAGAAATACGTACGTAAGTATATATGGATAAAATACAGTATCTGAAAATGGCCTTAAAAATTCATTGTGGAAGTATGAGTAAAAGTTTTAATTTTCAAAATGTTAACTGGAGATGTGTTCCAAATACAGAACATCAGCTTACACCGTTCATCTTTGACTGTAAATATGTGATCTACGTATAGCAAGTTAGAAGAAAGTGCTAGAGGTCGGGTGCAGTGGCTCACGCCTGTAATCCCAGCACTTTGGGAGGCTGAGGTGGGCAGATCACCTGAGGTCAGAAGTTATTGCCAAAAATCAAACCTGAAGTTGATCAAGCTTCACCATGTGTTGATAATTGTTGAAAATGGGTGATGAATAAAACGGGCCTCATTATCTTATTCTCTGTTTTTGTAAATGTTTGAAGATTTCCATAATAAAGTTTTTAAAACTATACATTACTTTCCAGACTCTAAATACTGCTGACATATGCTGACTTAAAGATGCTCTAACAACTTAATTTCTAAAATTCTGAATCATCTTGTATCATTTAACCCATGAAATGAAGAAAAACCAGGGCCTATAGGTTATTTTTTCATGCACATAAATGTTCAAAGTATTTTCAAATTGATATAGTCTTCATTAACTTATGCACAGTATCTTGAATAGATACCCAATGACAGAGTGCTAAGGATTAACAAAAATGCAAAACAAGTTCAAAAACTAGTCCTTGCCAACTCTTTTCCCTCAAAAGTTTAACATTTAATTGGAGAGGTATTTATACTACCACATTACAGCTATATGGCAGTTTCTAGCTTATAAACCAGTGAAACATATATTATCTCATGTAATGGTGAAAAGCAGTTTTATTCCATTTTATAGATAAGACAAACAAGCATTACAGGACTTAGCTGACATGAAAAGTTATGGCACAATGCAAAAACAGATTTTAATCCTTATCATCTAAATGGACTTAGCTGACATGAAAAGTTACGGCACAATGCAGAAACAGATTTTAATCCTTATCATCTAAATTTCAGGCCGGGCACTTTTGTTCATGCCTGTAATCCCAGCACTTTGGGAGGCTGAAGCAGATGGATCGCAACATGGTGAAAACCCAGTCTCTACAAAAAAGACAAAATTAGCCGGTTCACAACTGTAGTCCCAGCTACTGGGAAAGCTGAGGTGGGAGGATCACTTGAGCCTGGGAATGATGATATGCTCTTGAGGCTGCAGTGAGCCGGATCGCACTACTGCTTTCCAGCCTGGGCAACAGGGCAAGACTGTGTTTCAAAAAAAAAAAATTAAAATTAAAATAATTAAAATTAAAATAAAGCTATCTCAGGCTTAAGGAAAACAACTAGAATAGAGTCATACATAGAAAGTAGTTAATAAATGTTTGTTGAATTGAACTCCACTTACAGATCAGGAAGTAGTAGCCAAAAGAAAAGACAGAACCTAAACTAAAAATATAAAAATCCTTGCCATCACCCCTTACATAGAATAGAACAACTTGTCCTGCTACAATCATTCATTTTGCAATGTGAAAAAGCATTCCTTGATTGACAATTTCTAATGTGACAACATAAAGAAGCGTGAAATAAAGAATGCATTTTGAAAAACATTGTTTCATTCTTTAATAGTCTAAATAATTCTGCTAAAATCTAGCCAAGCACTGCTCAGGTAGCTTCACCCAACTTTATGAGAAACAGACAAGTGATCAAAGACTATTTTTATGTTAGTCTACCATTAAAAGAAGTACAAGATGTATTATGGTGCAGATGAATTACATATTACCTTTACTTCTGTTTCTCATTTATTTGCTATTCATTTTGGCAATAAGAGTAAGGAAGAAATCTTACTGAGATGAATCCCAAGGAAGATTTTCTTTCCCAGAAAATAAGAGTACTTAAGACCAAGTTTTTCCCAAAGCCATGTCAAAACAGTTTAATTTTAGAAGCCTTCTTCTAATTGATAAAACAAAAAAAGAGGGGCATTAGTGCCAGTTAAGCACAATCTAAAAAGTCAAAATTCACCATACAGAAATGTCAGGATTGAACTTAGTGAGGGCAGAAACAGGGGTGCCAAGTGGAAACAGCAATGAACATTACCTGGAAACATTTGTAGACACAGAGTAAAAATGAGAAGCAAGATACATGAGAATCCTCGAGTACTTAGAGGTGGAGCCTAAGAATAACCAAACTGTTCCACAGAAGTAGGAAATGATTTCTAGCACTTCTTTGTATTTTATTTTATTTTTATTTTATATTTTATTTGTTTTATTTTATTTTATTTTATTTTATTTTTTTTGAGATGGAGTCTCGCTCTGTCACCCAGGCTGGAGTGCAGTGGTGCGATCTCGGCTCACTGCAACCTCCACCTCCCGGGTTCAAGCGATTCTCTTCCCTCAGCCTCCCGAGTAGCTGGGATTACAAGCACACACTACAATCCCCAGTTAATTTTTGTATTTTTGGTAAAGACAGGGTTTCACCATGTTGGCCAGGCTGGTCTCGAACTCCTGACCTCAGGTGATCTGCCCACCTCTGCCTCCCAAAGTGCTGAGATTACAGGCGTGAGCCACCATACCCAGCTTCTAGCACTTATTTCTAACTTGCTATAAGTAGATCACATATTTACAGTCAAAGATGAACAGTGTAAGCTGATGTACTGTATTTGGAACACATCTCCAGTTAACATTTTGGAAATTACAATGAAGTAAATATTGTGTGTTAATATAAAAAGGGAAAAACTAAGAGTTATACTTGATATCATAGGAACAACAAAAAGCCACTGCAAATTACTACTCGTAATTCCTAATTTCAGTTTTATTCAATAAAGTTTCCAGAGTTTTAAAGCTGGAAAAGCTGAGGACACGTAACTCTCTAAGCGGTGGAGACATGGCCTGGACCTAAGTTTATCTGCCTATACAACACATTTTATTTCTACTATATACACTCTGTAAGTGGATCTCAAGTTCGAAAGGATTTTTTAGAATTACTAAAGCATAGCACCACAATTCAAAGTATGCAATAATAACTCTACTGTTTCCTTTTACACTGAAACAGGATGTACTTAATACTGCCTTCTGTCAGCTGACGTTCTATTAATATTCTTAAAATACTTACTTATAGTAACAAATGTCAGTCCCCATACGAATCCACCATGGTCTGGCATTTAATGCTTCCTGAACCGAATACATGAGTGGTTGCATACCTTTGAAAGACAGAAAAAAGACAGAAAATTATTTTCAGAATTTTTGAATTAAAAATTAATCTTGCCTTTGTAGAAAGCACCAAACATTCAGGAAAGCAGAAATAAATTACATTTCAGTGTTTTAGTATGTATTTTAAAAATCTGATGCATTTCTTAAACATCCCAAGTCAATCAATTATATGCTTTTATTTTTTAGTTTAATAATACAGGATTGCAACTTTAGAGTGAAAAGTCATTAAACTCTTTTCTATTAAATTTTCTACATGAAATCAATTAAAGATAACATATTCCTTATAAAAAGTGAAACAGTCAAAACGTACGTAAAGACATAATGTACAATCACCCCTCTAACTCTCCGTGGATTTCCACCTACACTGAAATCAATGGGAAAACGCCACCAAAATGGTATGTCTGCTTTCTCCCCACTCTTCCCCATGAGGTATGTGTTCGTAGGAGAGAAAAGGAAGAGGGACTCAAAAATATAAAGTATATTTTCTTGGGTATTCTTAGAAATATGTTTTCCACATGAACTTTAAAATCATCTTACCTAATTTCTAAATGATATACTAGGTTTCTAGATTGAACTGAATTAAATTCATGTTAATTATAGAAAGGCTGACAACTTTTATTGAGATCTGGTTTGACTTGTCTTAAATTCTAACTTAAGGATAGAGTCATTTTCTTTTCCTGGTACAGAATAATTTTATTAAACTTACCTGTGAGTATTTTTATAAGATTCTTTTTTCCCTTTCCATTTCTGATTGGTTATTCCCACAATGAAGCACTATTCATTTATTTTTTATATTTATCTTAATATTCACGTTATCAAATAAACTAATTTTAACAGGTTTTTAGTAGTCTCATGAATTTTCTAGTAATATAATTAAAATATTTTATCACCTAGTATTTATATCATTTATTTCATTTTCTACTCTTACTACATTTAGATAAATTAAACCTCAAAAAAATTATGCTGAATATAGTGGTAAGAACAAACAATTCTTTTTCATGACTTGAACCAAAATGTTTTCCATTCCATGAAATATTTGCCCCTTTTTTGCAAATCAACTTTGTCATGTTTAAGTAATAAAAATGGCTAACAATGAATAATTTCTGTATGTGAGACACTGCTCTAATGGTTTTTACCTGTATTAAGTAGTTAAATCCTCACAACCACTTTTAGATGGTAAATGCTATTATTAGTCCCATAACTTGAGTAGTTTCACTATAATTTTTATTATACTTCAGAGTTTTAATTACTTTATCAAATGCCTTTTCAACATCTAATAATAGAATCAAACGGCTTTTCTCCTTTAAACTGTTGATTCAATAAATTATGTTGGTAGGCTTCCTATTGTTGAACTATCTTTGCGTTCTAAGAAAATGCTACCCTTTTAACACTATGTGACTAAGTTAACTAATATTTAGAATTTTTCCATCTAAATTCTTAAGATGATCTTTCTTATTTCAATTTACTTTTACCAAGTATGGTAAAGGTTATAAGAGCTTCAGAAAACTAACTTTTAAAACTTCCAAAGAATAAATAATAAAAGCATCATCTATTTTTTAAAGGATAAATATAATTCAGCTGGAATACCATATCAATATGGTGACTTATTAATAAACATATTTTTTAAAATTTCCTTTCAACAGCTATAGCCTCTTAAGAATCTCACTTTTTCCTAATCGCTTTTGGTATTTCTCTCTCTCTCTCTCTCTCTCTCTCCTGATGTCCCTAAGTTTTTGGTTTCTTTATCATGTTATATCATTTCTTAGAATTCAGTCCACTTTTTTAAAGTGTATTTCCAGGATACAACTAACTTTTAATTCTAATTTGGATGAGTTGCTTTCTAGGAAATCTCGGATTTCATCCTGTTACTTCCTTTCACTGGACTCCCAGATTAGTACCACTTTTTCTTGTATCTCACACCTCCGTCTCAGGTTTCAAATGGGATCCTAGTGAATCAAAAAATCAAACTTGTTGATTATATTATTCAAATTCTCTATAGCCTTACTTATTTTTGTCTTCTTGATATGTCAAATTCTGAAAGGAGGACTTTAAATTCTCATAAATGTTTTCTAATCAAGTTGTATTTCCTGGAGCTTTTTGCCCTGCTTATGTAGGTGCCATGTGGCTAGGGTTGTTGTGCTGTATAAAGGTTTACACCATCTTCAAGGACTGCAACTTGCAAATACAAAATATCTGTCTTTATGCAAGTCAGTATTTTTGACCTTGACATTTTAGTCTGACATTATTATTTATTTATTTACTTTCCGAGATGGAGTCTCACTGTGTTGCCCAGGCTGGAGTGCAATGTTGCAATCTCGGCTCACTGCAACTTCCACCTCCCGGGTTCAAGCGATTCTCCTGCCTCAGCCTTCCGCATGCCACCGTGCCCAGCTAATTTTTGTATTTTTTGGTGGAGATGGGGTTTCACCATGTTGCCATGGCTGGTCTCAAACTCCTGACCTCAGGTGATCTGCCCGCCTCGGCCTCCCAGAGTGCTGGGATTACAGGTGTGAGCCACCGTGCCCGGCTGACTGACACAAATATTAACCACTTTTGCTTTATTTTAATTTCATTTGCCTAGTTTATCTTCGCCCATTCATTTTCAACCTTGTCACTGAATACACACACACACACACACACGGTGGGGAGCAGAGGAGAGAGGGAGAGAGAGAGACAGAAGAACAGAGGGAGAGAGGGAGAGAGAAAGAGAGAGAGAGACCACACTAAACTGTGTTACTTTTAATATCTGACCTTTTGAGGGTACTTCACAGTTTATTCATAGTTGGTGATGATGGATATACATTTCATTGTATTCCCTACATCTTATTTTCTACTTCTGATATCAACAAATGCTTTTTTTTTCTTACCATTTTATTTTTATTGGTTTGGTTACATTGCTCCACATTTTCTTTTCTTCCTTAATCTGGAAGCTTTCTATCACGCTTTTCAGTTCTACTTTTCCACCCTCATAGTCATGACTGATATTTTTCTAACACTATATTAAATAACTAAGCCATCCCACTGAGACAAGTTAATTTTCACTTTTCCTATATTACCCACCTTGTTCCAATACTTCTATCTTGAGACCTTTTACTCACATTGTTCAGAGAGAGATCAGATAGCATATCTCTGAATTACTGTTTTTGAGACAGATCTTCACTCTGTATATTTCCTCAATTCTTATAAACACTGACATGCAGTTTGCTGGCAGTGACAAACAATTTACAGATTCTTCAAAAGACATTTGGATGTCCACTGGCTTCCAGTGCCACAGACGAGCAGTCCAACACTAGTTTAATTTTTTAAATACGCAGAAAAATACAGTGATTAAGAGCATGCAATCCACAACCAAACTTCCTGGGTTTGAATTCCAGCTTCACCACATACCAGACGCATGATCCTGGCCAGACTATTAACCACTCTATGCCCCCATTTTCTTTTCTGTAAAATAAGGGTGACAATCTCACTGGGTTGTTTGTTGTGTGGATCACAGTTAGCACTTGGAACAAGGTCTGGCATGTGGCAAATAATCAATGAATGTTAGCTGCTGGTATTATTATTATTATTTCCTTTTAAGTAACCTATTCTTTTAAAGTGGAAGCATGTTAAAATTTTCTCTTTCTTGAAACTCAGAAATGTCACTGGTACATATAAAATAAGTCTGCCTTCCTGATCCCTTCCTGGGATGCAGTGAGCCACTTCAATCTGAAGTTTTGACTCCTTCCACCCACATAAAACTCATCGTAACACAAAACTCATTATAATAGTTTCAATAGTGACCACAGGAGACAGAGGAGGGGCTTCAAGATGGCTGACTAGAGGCATCTGGCACTTACCTCCCCCACAAAGCAGCAGCAAAATAGTGAGTAGATCATCACACTTAAAATAGATCATCTAAGACAGAACACTGAAACTCAACCGAAAACTAACCAGAACACCTAACACAAGGAAGGAGAGGGAAGGCGGGCAGGCTACTTGGCCGGGAGCCAGGGAGGCTTCCCAGTACAGGAAAAGGGTAAGTGAGATTCTCAGTGGTCCACAACCATACTACAGACTCCTCCAGTCCTAGCCAGGGGGCAGCCCCTCCATCCTCGCAGATCCTGAGACTAACACAGGGAGCTGCCTTGAGACTGCACGAAGGCATTGCTCCAGAGAGTGAGTTCACATGGGGTGTGACCTAAGCAGCAGCAGTACTGGCACAGTTTTGAGAACCCAACCCCCACTCAACTGCATCCTGCCCCCTGCCTCCCCAACCCACAGCCACCAATGCCACAGGCTGCTGCCACTGAAACCTAAGCAAAAGTCACTGGCAGAGACCCCACCTCCCAGCAGCAAGCTGTCATGCATTTGCAGGTGCCCAGAGGACAGGCTCCTCTACCCGCAGCCACCACCACTGCTGACCGCTGCCACTGGGGCCAAAGCACAAGTCCCTAGCAGCAACTCCATTGCCCTTGGCAGTGTGGTCACCCTACATTAACACACGCCCTGCAAACAGGCTCCCGGGTCCCCAGCTGTCGCCTGGGGCTGAGGCACACACTCCCCAGCCTGCCACTGATAGCAGCTTAGCAATCCCTAGCAGCAGGGCTGGGGTACATTTGCAAGCTCCCTGAGGGCAGGCTTCCCCAGTCCACCAGCTCTGCTGCTGCCCCCACTCAAACACTCTAAGGGGAGTCTAGGGATCACCCCACCCATCCTCGTTACAGCCAGAGCCCCTATAAATCATGTGAGGGGCTTGAGGACAGGCCTGCCTGGCCTGGCTTCCCCACCATCCCCAACACCAGAGCATACCTGGGAGCCTAGGGATCGCTCAGCCATGTCACCCACTGCTGGCACCTGAGCATTCCTCCCAGGGGTCTAAGGATAGGCCACCTCGCCTGCCACTACCTCTGCAGCTGGCACACCCTCACACACCACCTGCGGGTCTGGGGACTGGACCACCCAGCCTGTCACAGCCACCACCAACACTGCACACACCGCTTAGGAAGCAGAG